GCTTCTATTGCTTGGTATTCATGTATTGCTTGCCTCAGTTAACACGACATATAATTCCTCCATGTGTTACATTTTTTTTCAAGATGTGCCCGGAATGCCTGCGGGTATGCCTTGCACCCGCCCCCAACGTCTGTTTTGTTTTGGCCACCGCCTGTCAGTGGGAGTGGCTTTCCCCTCGCTCGGACCGGCAGTTAAGGTTTTACCGACAGCTGGAGCGCCGTCCACGAGGGCTGACCCCGCTGACAAGCGAGCGACGGTTGGTCTGTACCCCTATAACTCCATTTATCCCTTTGTATCGTTTTGGCGAAATAAATATATATCAATAAATTGAGTTTATTGGAAAGAAACTACAAAAGGCCGCGACAGACACCTCTAAATCACAAAGATTTTGTGTGGACGGAATCAATTGTTATTGGAAATACTCTGGCTGGTATCGATTCGATCCTCAATGTTTGTCCTCCGACGATGATCCTACTGTATCAATCGGGCCCGATTTCTCCCCAGCGGGCCAGTACGACCCCCCCCCCTCTGTGACATGTCGAGGATTCCTCAACGCACGCTTGACCCTGGTTGAGAGTCTTGTTTCTTGAGAGTTTTCGTGGCATGTTCTGTGAAATAATTGCATTGCGCTCTTCGCATGTGACCTGTGCTCCTCCCAACGACAACAGCGCCCGTCCTCGCTGCGTTCTCCAACAATGGTAGAGTATGAATAATTACTCTAATTTCCGGTAAATAAGCCCGCGCCAATTTCACGAAAAACATCTCCGCTCGTGCGCTGTAATTTTGTACACCTTACAAACTACCGCGAAATTCCCCATACAGGAAAATTAGTGCCCTTATCAGCTTTCATTTTCAGCGGTGGCGCCATCCGGTACCAGTTGGCATCACCTTGCCACGACACTTGCTTCCACCAAATGTAGTGTAGACTTCCGTACAGGGGTACGAACATTCATTCTTGGCGCTGGCACTATTTGGTGCCTATTTCCTGCTCGTCTGCGCTCTCCAACTGAGAAATGTGCGCTGAACAACATTAATGCTAAAAGTAGATACCATATTCATAATCAGGGCACCAAATAACCCCTATACTGGAGTTCACACCGATTTTGGTGGGAACGGGGTTGTGACAAGGTGACGCCAACTGGCGCTAGATGGCGCCACCGCTAAAAATGAATTTCGTGTTCGTAATTGGCATATAGAATAACCCTTGTAGGCAAGTTATGGTTGCCTGTAGATGTACTCAAGTGCACTGTATTGGCGGAGGTGCTTTTACATGATATTGACGCGGGATTATCTACCGGAAATTGGGGTATTAGATCATGTATTAGGTTGGTCCGTAAGCCTTGCAACAAATTACCTTTATTGCCAAATTTTTTTTTCGACAAACCCGAAAATTTTGCAACATGTTCGTTGACGTAGCATCCACCTTTGCAATTTCAGCCAACCATCCAGCTTGTTGTCTCGCTACTTGTTATGGATATTACGCCGATTTTGCGAAAATTTCTTTGAGCCCTTAATTTGTACGAGTACTGGTTGTAGCGTTCCGCAAGTTATGCTACACCAAGGATCAGCCAGTAAATGAGCGAGGGCGCGCACTCTCAATTCACGACGCACCGAGGATTCATTTTACCAAGCGTAGACTTTTTTTATTCAGAGATGATCCACACTCCAACCATCGTGAGTAGCAATCACGCTGCTCTCTGCTCTGCCGCTGTTGAAAAGGGATCTGAATAGACTACCAATCATTTGCCAGAGGATTTCTGATGCGGCAAGGATACAGCACTGAGGCGTCTTTGAAGACTTGCAATGAGTCTAAAATAGTGAGTTTTGGTCCCTATTTTAGACTCTCTACGTGCAGATGTCCAGTCAACGCGGAGTCAACCGTCCACAGCTCGATTGCAACGCCTTTAATATTAAGAGAAGCAAGACAAAGTTTGCATTTTTATGACACCGTCGAATCACCTTTTGCTAAAATACAGCAAAATTTTGGGACTCTCGGACGGAGAGTTCTTCCGTATCCACCTCACAGCTTGACTCTTCCCAAAGGATGCCCACCTGCTCCCCTCTCCAGACCACCTCTTAGAGAAGAAATCTCATCCTAACCATAATGGTGGCAGAATCGATGTCTGATCTTACTTCGATCAAAACTCTGTGGAGTTCTACAAGAGCAGCATCGAACAGTTTCCTGTGCGTTGGCAATAGGTTGTAGATATTGTTGGTGTGTACTATGTTGGATGGATAGAACAATAAGATAAGAAAAATATTAAAATCACATTTTAGCCAGTTTGTTGCAAGACTAATGGATCAGCCTAATGCATTCTGTGACCAGAGGGGACTTGTTGTCAAGACAGCATAGCAGATCAAAGCTAAGACTCAGGCAAAAAATTCAAGATCTTCTTGAGTGGAATCTGACATGAGTGCTCAGCGCCTAGCGTTACGCGTCTCGAGCTGAAAATATGTCCAACCCCGCAGATGGCTACTTAGCACTTATGTCCACAGAATGGAGTTCTACAGGTAGGTTAAAGTCAGTCCCTGGTGGAGCGAAGAAACGGAGATGGAGGCCTTGCACGAGAAGTTGGAAAGCAGAAACGAAGAGAAGTTTGTCTTAGACTGGCTGAAGCCCATCAACGGGCTACTCAAGATACCAGGATGGTGAAGAGTGTGAAGAGCAACAACGGCGCCATCCTGAGGAAGCCAGCCGAAGTCCGGAGGAGGTGGGAAGAGTACTTCAGGGGATTTCTGAACGAAGAGTTTCCCTCACAAGAACAACTCACGAGCAAAGGCTACAGCTGGTCCCGTCGCACTCTGGACAGAGGATGGTGTTGGTGTGCGTTTCGGAAGATGAAGAATGGAAAGGCTGCTGGCCCAGATGGAATACCCATAGAGGCAAAGAAGGCGCTTGGAGAGCACGGAATGAGGCGGCTCACCCGCTTTCTCAACACTGCCGAAGGAAGCACGCCGGATGCCTGGAGAACCAGTACTAGTGTCCTCATCTTAAGCAGAAAGGTGACACGATGGGCTGCTCCATCTACCGCGGCATCAAGTTGACTGCGCACACCATGAAATTGTACGAGCGGCTGGTCGATACGAAACTGCGGGAGCTGGTCCAAGTACAGTTCGGGTTTCTAAAATATCCACAACGGATGGCATCCTCATCGCCAGGCAAGTGATGAAAAAGTATAGACAAAAGCGCCCACTCTGCTACCTAGCCTTCCTTGACCTGGAGAAGGCGTACGATCGGCTGCCACGAGACGTACTATGAAGATTGCTCGAGGAATGGAACGTGCCGCAACTCCTGATCTCTCTGGTGAAGGTCATGTACGATAGGGCTGAGGCAGCTACACGCACCCCGTTCGGCCTAACGAATGAGGCGGACATCACGGTCGAGGTGCACAATGGATTAGCTCTGAGCCCCTTCCTGTTCCTCCTGACACTAGATGTCCTGGTTAAGGTGCTCATAAAGACCATCCTCTACGCTGACGACATCGCCTTGATAGCAGTTAGGCGAGAGGAGCTTCCAGTCAAGGTGCAGAAATGGCAGAAGTCTTGGCAGAAGGCGGGCTCCGGCTGAATGTCAAGAATACCAAGTTCCCAAGCCTGAAGAGGGTACAGAACCGCG